TTTGATGGGAATCATTAAGTACTAGGCCCAAATAATAATAATCCAATAGTCTTACATGAATCGTTCCTTGCAGGTGCCAAAAAGCACGTTTAGTCCCTATTTTCAAAAATTAATTTAGACCGTCCTGTGTATATTTAAATCTTGTAGTTTTCATCCCTAAAAGACATTTTTGTTATGGTTTTAGTCCGTGCGAAATCTGAAATGGCCATAATACCCTTGTATGTTTATTTTTCAATTAATTTAAGTATTATTTATAATTTTAAAAAAGGAAATGGCCCCACTCCTACCCTCTACCCTAACCTCACCCCACTACCCCACATCTATGAAGCTGGAACGTGAAAACCTTTCCCTCTTTCTCTCTTCTTCTTTCATCTCTGCAGAACCACCGGGAAGGTCATCTTTTTCCGGCGAGGTTGTCTTCCAGAACTATTATCTTCCTCAGACGAGCTTCAAAAAACCCATCCAGATAGATTCAATTTGGTCAACGTGGTTGAATTCTAAGATCTGACTGCAAAAGAAGACTAACAGAGTAACGTAATTTCACCGGTGGTTGATGTGGGGATTCCAAATGTGGTTGAAGTTTCAGCGTTGGTAGAATTTCAGAAGTCGCCACCACTTTGTAAGCTAAAACTACTGCCGTTCTACACCTCGAAAGTCATCATCGATAGCCAACCAATAAGTTGGATCCCAAATCAGACCCCATCGGAGGGACATGTATGAATATCAAAAAGGGATGGAGGCGGCGTAGATGGGTTTGCTAGGAAGATGTCACAGAGACTCAGAGGTCTCAACGTATGCAAGTCGAGACCTTCAAGAACTAAATCTTCAACAACCTATTGAGATCTGCAAATCTGAAATTGTTTTTGAAATTCCCAAAGTTGAACTTGAAATCATTCTTCAACTTAAAAGATGTAATGGTTGAACTTTTTAAGAACCTTTGATGGTGGAGATGTCAAAGTCAAATTAGCTCAAAAGATAAACAATTTGACTTGTTTGTTATTACTAATAGAACACGTCTATACTGAAAAATAAATGATATTTTTTTTAATCTTTATTATATTTGTCTTTGTGGGGTATTTTTTTCCGCCCAAGGCCCCATACACATTTGGACCGGCATGAGATCTGTCGGAGAAGCTTGAGGGGGTTGCTGATTTTGGTTTGGGCGGTTATAGTGGTTGATGCTCAAGATTCAAGAACACACTTAAAATTAATAAAAATAAGGTTAGGTTGAAGGTGGGGGTAATCTGGTGTGGCGGTCCACATATTTTTTAGTTCTTCTATATTGAAAGTAACAAACAAACTAAAAATAAATCAAAAAAGAAATAAAGAAGGGCATTATTGTCATTTCAGATGAAACCTACAAGATTTAAAAATTAATTTTTGAAAATAATGACTAAACGTGTTTTATGCACACAAAGGACGATTCATGTTATTTACTCTAGAATAAAAGAGGGAGGGAGGCTTACGTCCAGATTGTCTAGAAATTTGGTAGTGTAATACTTTTGTATTGGCTCTTAAGCTTTCGGCTTAGAGAGAGGGAGATTCTCGGGGCAATCTTTGAAGATTGTGTTATCGTTTAAATCAATTAGTTCAATTTCATCTTTGTCTTCCGTACAATCTCTTCTTTGTTTCTACTGATTCATTAAACCCTAATTTCTGTTCTTCATCAAACTTATGCTAAAAATAGAGAGAATTCATCTTATGACACATTGTTACAGAGGTACGAGGATGGAGAAAGACAGGTCGACCTAAGCACTTGAATCAATCATTTACGGAGTTGAAAACTGTTAGATGCATCATCCATGGTCCTGAATTGGTACATTTTTTCCCTAATATTTCATTTTTCAACACGAATTGATCATAACAATTCTTACAATGGACTCTCCAATTTTACAAACTCAACGGGTTACCAAATATGTCTATAATTCAAAATCCATTGATATTTCTCTAAAATCCCCATTCCTATGGCATTATACGTACGATGCTTTTAAGGATGATACAAAATATCTTTCTATCAAATATTACAAGCACACGTAAGTGAAAAAATTACTAAACCATTATAATCTAATTTAACATTGTGGTACTTCATGCTGATTTGGTTATGAGTAGTAGTGTGATATTTGGATTTCACTAATCTCGCTCTGTTGTTTATGTAAAAAAAATATTAGGAGGAAATTTACAACATCACAGAGATGTCAAAATCATTTTTTCTAGATAAAACTTTGAAGTTCACATCAAGTATGGTTGGGAAGATGATGAAACTTGCTAGAAGACCTATATCCAGAAATACAAAAATAAAGGTAATTGAATATTATGTTTAGCAGATCAATATATTTTTCTCGTTTGTTATTTCTTTCATTTTTGCTCACATGGCATGACATGTGAATTCGGTTTTTGAGAGAAAATGACATCAACTTTCAGTTTATAACATGTTTTCCCCTTAACTTGATTGTTCTGAATCCCTCGTCTTGATAACATAAACTTCCTATTGTTATTCTTGTAGTTTATTCAGGTAACTGGATGTGCCCTTGCTTGTTATTGGTGCTTCTATCCTCCCGGCTTCAACAATAACCCACAACTCATGCTTCCGCTGATGGTTGTCTTCCATATTTTTATCACCATTCTGTTAATCATGTTCATTATTCTGCGTGTGGACCGGTTATTTGATGAATCCGAGCAATCTTCAGCCACTCAAGAAGAAGACAATGAATCCGATCAATATTCAGCTAGTCAAGAACACGACTAGATTTATTGATGGATCACTAACAAAATTGGGTGATTTAATTTTGTGGTTATATGCAACTCGCAGGTGTGCAACCACAACAAGGTTTATTTCTTGGATTCTCACTCATGTTTTCAGAAATAGCGTACGAAATCTAGCGATCCAAGAATTGGAAAATTCGCCATGGTAGGGGGTATTTGACAGAAAATCACGATTTAGTTCGCATATATTTATGTCGAATAGTTAGGCTCAAAACTCCAAGTTCTAGTCCTTGTCTTTAGGAAGTAATTCCGTTAGTTTTAAGATTTTATGTATTGATTTATTTTTTATTTGTGGTTGGTTTATTGGAATTATTATGGGTCCATGTTCCCGTGTTATTGCTTTGCTTTTATCTCTTTGTCACACCTTTATCAGGATAATAAACCAAATATCTTTGTGCCACTCCTTTATAGAATGGAAAATTCACTTTTCAGCTTAATTACCTTTTTTGTTGTATTTATACTTGACTAATTTTTCTTTTTGCACGTCTAGGTAACCAATTTGTTAGAGGTATTCGCATATGACTGATATGACCGACTATTACAAGTTATAGCTGGCAGCAGTTATATGTGAAAATGTTCATTACGTAGATGTGTACAAAAAAAGAAGTTACCCAAATATGAATAAAACGAAAAGGTAATTACCTTGATAATTCAATTTGTCTTGTTTTTTTATTTTATCTTATAATTTTGATTTGGTATAAAATTTAACCTAAATAGTAAATATTTTTGAAGCCACATTATTTTGATTGGAAAAAAACACATCGTCATTTTTATAGAATTTTATTATTTAAGATATTAAATATAAATATTAAATTTACCATGTACACATGCAAAAATTAAGGATACATGCTGGCATACCAACTCGACAATAAATATGGCAATCACCATCCACATCACACTGAGAGTTGGATAATCGAATCACTTGAGATTTGCATACTTGCAAAACATGTTCTAAATTCATTAGAGAAAAACAAATAACAAGTAGGAATAGAGAATTTTATTAAAGACTAAAAGTACGGATACACAATTTATATACTAGTTTTTAATTTGTAAAGCAAACAATCTAAGCTAGCTAAATGTAACAGACATCGTACCTAATCGAACAGTAATATATAGTAAGAAAGTAGGTTGCCGAACACAAGGGAAACGGGAATGATTAACAGCTAAAAAGTTAACTAATTTAAAAGAAAGTAAATGACGGTTTTATTTATTTATTTATTTATTTTTTCTGGTTTTGCAAGTCCATACTACTTAAAAGCAATTATCACCAAATAGATTAACTAACAAAAAGCAATCAAAATTAAGTTTTAAGACAAGATATTAAGGAGCCACTACAAACAAAATGTCATTTAGTGGCACACAAAAAGTGTCACTAAATACCAAAAAAGTGTCACTAAATGTCTCAAAGAGAATCTGTTACTAGAAATGCTCCCACTAAAACTCTTTAGTAACACTTTTCAGTTTTGACGTTGCAATTTTTAGTGTTTTAGTGACATTTTTTTATTTGCCATGGTAGACAAAAAACTATTTTGTGACACATAATTTTTGCCGCTAAAAACTCATGTAGTTATAAAATTGATCTTGCCTTTAGTTGTACTTTTGTATTTGCACAATACAATAAAATATTTTTTGGCATATATTTATAATTGCTAATTACATGTGATTTTAGATTTTCTTCTACTTACAACGAAATATTTTTTCTCTATAATATGAAATAAAAACTATTTTAATTGTAGAAAATAATAATAATTCATTGGTTTTCATCAATATTTTGAATTCTATTAAACCAAAGTCTAAGTAAATATCAAATAAGTCTAATGTTGTATATGAAGCATCATCAGATCCAACCTAAAACTATAAGGCAACACAATCAATAAAGGCAAATCCATATGTAGTAGAATCATCATCAAAACTTCTTATACCCTGTACACAAATGTAATGATTAATGACAATGGTTATATTTAAATAATAGTAATGTATTGGCAATGACAATAAATTTATATAACTGAAAAGAATATACCTCCTTTGTAGCAAGAAGATGAACAACTTGTGCCCAATGTAGCCATTAATCAATGTTGATGGTTTAAACACACTAATTTTCTTTGAACTATCTGTGAACATTTAGAGACATAATATTTAAACAAATAATGACATATTATCTACAAATGACAAAATATGACACTTATACACAAATGGAAATACATTTAAGTCATAAACTCACATCATATGCCCTAATTTTGCTTGCTTTGATGTTTCCAATTGTTCCACTCGCCTAACTTTATACCTTCAAATTTTACATAAAATCTGTCAATAGTTATTTAATGATAATCCAAGAACTTGTAAGAAATTAACAAATGACAAGATTTTAAGCATTTTAGTAACTTACCCACCAGCCAATAGCTTTTCCATGGCATCATCAATTGCATTCTTGGTGATACAAACCTAAAATAAAGCAAAAAAAAAAAAAAAAAAAAAAAAAAAAAAAAAAAAAAAAAAGATGTTAATTTACAAAAACAACTTCAAAAAATAGTTAAGATATTCTCACTACACAATATATATTTGTCACTAGAAAATACATGTCGATATTTCCCAACACCACTCATTGAACAAGAAGGATGAGCCTTGCACATCCGAATTAAATAGACAATTCCCTTATATCAAGTCGATTCCTGCAATTCATCACAAAAAGTTTGGTTAATGATTGATTTGATTGCTGATAAATATCAACTGTATAAGAATTATGACGAAGAACACAATTTAAAAATAAATATATTTCAATTTTTTTTAAAGATTTGATAATATTTATGTAACAGTGATGGTTGAAAGTCATGATACCAAAGTACCAGACAAAAGAGTAATTTGTAGATATGATGCCTTTTGATTAATTGACAAAGAGACAACTTTTATGGGCTTCATATAAACAAGGAGGGGGCTAAAAGCATATAGTATTTCTATAAATCTCATTTTTATAATTTTGTTTTCAATATATGTACGTTAAAAGATGTAAAAATTGGAAAATTAGGATTTAATCATGGATTTATGGTCAACTATTGTTAGGAACTAGTTAAGATATGTCTTAAACTATATATGTTTTATAATTGTTACCTATGCAAATCCACAATATAGTTGATCATGTTGCATTTGTACTAACTATGATCAAGAAAACACATACACACAAGAGGCAAGAAAAGAGTGTGGTAATATACCTTCCTCCTCCAGTCCTTTAACGACATTAGTATGACGTTTGATAACATGAGTAAATGATACATGAATTAAAACTTGCTCAAACCCTCATCTTCTCTATAACCCTGTTCCACAAACAAAAACATTCAAAATTAGCAATGCTTCTTAAATTGAATGTTTTATTTCATATGAACAACCATATTAGATACATATTTTGTGGAAAACAATCGCAATAAAAAAAGTGTTAACGTTTAACTCTCAACATAATTCTTATCAATATACAATAAACACGTGGTGGCTATAACAAATTAGGAAAAAGGAAAAGAATAAAACAACATTGAGATATTTCAGAAACAACAAAAATGAGCAAATTAAATCCAAAAACAAGTGAATTAAATGACAAAAAGATATGTGCACACACTTGAGGAAGTATTATAGGAGTACTCCCATGTATTACAGCAGGGTGTGTTAAAGATTGCATGCAAAAACACATTAATTTCTGACTTTATTGAAAACAACTTGAAAAAAGTAAGTTTTGGTAACTGACTTAAAGATTACCTCCAAAAACACATTAATTTTTGACTTTATTGAAAACAACTTGAATATATTAAGTTTAGGTAACTGCATCCAATCAACTAATATAAATAAGAGTTCAATAGAATTCATTAAGAGAATCTAGGGCAGCTGGTACCTACTACCGATAAGGAGCAACTATTATCCATGTTTAATTTTTTATGAGTTACATGACCTACATACATGTACACTTGTAATAATATAAATATTAAATATGGTTAAGCACGTGAAATCTCCAAACATGATGAAACTTAAACTAAGGCATTGACATCAAATTCAAACAAAAAAAATTCTGATAAGACAAGAAATGCTCATAATTCATGAGATCCCCAATACAAAGAACAAATATAACCTAAAATGAAGTTTTGAATGGGTAAGATCGAATCAATAAGCTCTGATGTGACATAACATCCACCAACAAATACAACATACAAAGTTATATTACAATACGTAAGCACATCTAATAAAAATTAGGAATATTTCAAGAAATAAGGATTTTAAACCATTTAGAAAATAGAAGCTAAAGCTTAATTTACTATGAGATGATTGTAAGTAGCAATAAGTAGATATTTAGCTACATTATGCCAATAAATCAAAATTCTTCATGAATGTTTCAAGAAATAAATATTTCAAACCAATTTAGGAAATCTTAGAACCATTCTTAAGACCACACATTAAGACCATCAAAAATTCAAGTACCCGAACAATTAACTTTTTTTTTTTTCATCATCACCAACACTAGTGTCTGGCCAATCCTCAAACAAGTACCCCAATCTCGTCTCCTCCGGTGACATCTTTCAAAGCCCAACCTATAAATACAAAAACAAATCCTAATCTATATAATGATTGCATAAAAACCATTAGCAAACAAAACTGTACATACACCGACTCCTGATAGAAAATTGAAAAGTTTTTTTTTGGAGATTTAGGCAATAATACCTAGACATGGGGGGCTCAATCACGAAATCAACCATCCAATTCAGAAAGAGGATCAACCATCTTAAGTCAAAAGTAAATCAATTTTATAGCAAAAAAAGTCGACATGGCGGATCAATCATGAAATCAGAGGAAAAAATTGGCATAACTAAATAAACCTTCGATTATTACCTATAGAACTCACATGTGGATTTGTGATTGATCATATGAACTTGTAGATAGGGTCGCATACATTTATCGAAGCTACGGGGGAAGGTTCATTTAAGCCATAGAAATTGCACCAAGAGGTGGTAGTTCCTCGACACAAATAAGAAGTTTGGAGTGTGTTTACATATGTCTGCCATATTATGTCTTTTTTCTAGTAATGCCAGGAGCTACCTACTTACGAGTCCGACATCTGGTGAGTTAAAATGAAGATCAGAGATGCAACGAAGCTCGATGGCTTTACAAACGACTTTCTTTCGATTCCTTAAGCCCAAACTCAATTGCAATATCCGTAAACTCCATTTCAAGAGAGAGTGGTGGAGAAAGAGAAACAATCTCCGAAAACTCCATTTCAAGACAGAGTTGTGACTGACAGAAGATATATCGACGATCAACCTCAACAATTTTTTCCGCTCGTTAGAGAGGGGAAAACAAAATCTTATAATGGTATAAAAAACCTGATAAAAGTTTAATAAAATTTTAGTGGCATATAATAACTTGTATGACACAAAATCAATAATTTTTAATGGAATTTAAAATC